GCACCTGCGCCAACAACACCTCCAGCTCCAGTACCTCCAGTAGCACCAGCAGCACCCGCAGCAGGACCGCCGCTAGGACTGACAGCAGTAGCCTCAGCGCCAACACCCTTAGCAGCTCCGACTCCAGTCGCACTCGCAGGCCCAGCAGCTCCAGCACTCCCAGGGCGAGCACCTCCGAGACCGGCTGCACCAGAACCCTCAGCAGCCCAAGAAGCACCAGCTCCAGCAGTACGCCTCCAGCGCCGAGCAAACCACTCGCGCAGCTCCTGTGAAGAGAGCGGCTCCCGCTGAGACGAAGCACCCGAAGAACCTCCAGGCCTAGCACCGCCAGACGCCACACGGGTAGGTCCAGCGGCCGCTGGCTCCGCACCACCAGGCTCAGTAGCTCCAGACGCAACACCCCAAGGATCAGCATCCCCAGTCGTAGCACCCCCAGGCTCAGCACCCCCAGTCGCAGCACCCCTGGACCTAGCACCCCCAGACTCAGCACCTCCAGACCCGGCATCCGCAGGCTCAGCACCTCTAGCAGCACCAGAGTCAACAGCTACCTCGACAGGCTCGACTGTGTCTACCTGGGACAAACCCGAAGGGGCAGGACCCTGAGGGGGGAGGGGGTCTACCGGGGGGGGACTTGCCACAAGGAAGTGCGGTGGTGGGGGGAGGGAAGGAGTGCGGTAGGGGAAGAGGCGGTAGTAGGGGACTGACTCGTCGAACGTGACGTCCTGGGAGGACAGAACACGACGAGAGGTGGGGTGGTAGAACTGCCACCCAGGGGCGTCAGGGGGGAAGCCAAGGAAGACACAGGGAGCAGCACGAGAGGACAGCTTGTCCGCAGACAAGTCGCAGACAAACGCCCGAGATCCCCAGACACGGAACGCAGACGCATCGCCGACCTTCCCCGTACACAGCAAGGCTGGGGAGGTCTCTGGTCTGGAGACCCTGGGGTGAAGGTTGATCTGATGCGCCGCGTACTGAACCGCAAACGACCACAGAAAATGGGGGGCAGCCGCATGCATCATGGACGTACGAGCGACGTCCATGACCATGCCAATGCGGCGCTCAGCAATCCCATTTTGCTGTGGAGAGTCCGGTAGTGTAAAGGTCTGGCGGATGCCTCGCGCACGATAGTAGGCTCGCAGAAGGCCAGAGGAGAACTCTCCGCCTCGGTCAGAGTGCAGACGCAGAACAGGAAAGTCCGAGCCGAAGCTCCTCCTGAGCTGAAGACGAGCTGCGCGGATCCAGTCGATCAACACCTCAGCGACATCACCCTTGCTGCACAAGGGGAAGACTGAGGTGTAACGCGAGTAGTCGTCAACCACCAGCAGGAAGTAGCGCTCGTGACCCTGTCCACGGACGCGGGCTGGGCCCCACACGTCCATGTGAAGCGTCTGCAGCGGGGCCTCTGTCGGGGGAAACGGAGAGGAGTGAGGGGCAGGCCGGAGCCGCCCCTCGACACAGGGAACACAGGAAGGACCAAGCCGTGGAGGAAGGGGAGGGAGGGACCGGGGAAGACCAGAGACAAGGACACGGGAGGCCATGCCTCGGAGACGAGGCAGGGAGGGGTGACCAAGACGGTGGTGCCAAAGGAGAGTCTCGTGAGACAGGAGGCGACACGAGCAGGGGGCAGACTCAGGACCAGACCTGGACGCTGCAGCAAACACCTGACCCGACGCAGCTACCTGACCAGACGCTGGGACTGGAGGAGACGTAGTGGTCAGTGTGTACAGGCTCGACCCCGGCCGACGTGTAAACGTGGCCAGGTGTCGGCCTGTCCGAGCGTCCGTGCAGTGGGTCACCCGCTGACTCGCAGGAGTGAACTGGTGAACCCCCGTATCCTGCAGGTCAGCACCACTCACCAAGTTCGTAGAGAACGAGGGGAGGTAAAGACTAGACAAGGTGCCAGAGGGGGCAGCCGGACACGGGAGGACAGTGGAGAAGTGAGAGAGGACAGGACCCACAGAGGGGTCTGCCAGGGAGACTGCAACTGGCCGACCAAGCGGCGTGAGTGTGGTGCGGTCTCGAAAGAAGGAGCGAGAAGCCCCTGAGTCAAGTGTGAAGGTGAGGGAGGCCGAAGTCGACGTGGTACCTGAGAGCGCAGACTCACCAGCACCTGAGGGCGCGGACGCACTGGCACCTAGAGCAGCAGCCTCACCAGCACCTAGAGCAGCAGTACCAATGCCCGGGTCGGGCGGGAAACACCGGTAACAGACACCCTCATCACTAATAGTCACAGCATACATGGCAACAAGGATAGCATCAAAGTTAAGATCAAAGATAGCTACGCCTGCCCTAGACAGCTCTCCCCAGCGGGGGATCTCACTAGCCTCCGGGAACTGCTGACGCCAAGCGTCCGTCAGGCGGCCAAAGCAGCGTTGGGTGGGGTGAGCACCCCCACACTGCTCACCCGCGCGGTCGCCGGAGCGAAGGACGTCGGTGCACGGGCCAAAACCCCCACCACGCTGACGCTGCTTGTACCACTCACGGAGCTGCTGAGGAGGGGGGATGTCCCGAGAACGCTGCTGCTGCTGCTGCTGCTGGCGCTGACCGCTCCCGGAGCCGCTCCGCTGCGAAGCACCACCCCGACCAGCTCCACCTCCTCCACCACCGCCGCCTCCACCTCCGCCACCACCGCCGCCTCCGCTCCCACCGCTACCGCCACCGCCGCCTCCGCCTCCGCCGCTGCCACTGCCCATCCCCGCCACCACTCCCACCGCCACCCCCACTCCCTCCGCTGCCTCCACCGCCACCTCCACCACCCCCGCTAGCTCCACCCGTGCCCTTGCCCCCCTTGCCCTTGCCAGAGCGGCGTCTCCCGCTAGGGGCAGACGCCGCACCGATCGACTCAAGACCAACGAGGTCGGGCGCAGTAGCAGAGGCGACAGAGGGCAACAGGGGGGAAGGGGAACACCCCTCAAAGATGGGGGTGCGAGGGTCACCACGAGAGGCTCCTATAGCGACTATGCTCTTTTCCGTTGCTAGGAGGGCCTTCTCTAGGAGGTCAACAGTGAGAGTGGTGGGACAGACTGAGAGGAAGTGGTCCCTGACTACGCGAAGGGAGTCAGGGAGGCGGGTGACTATATAATCGAGAGTGATGTACATGGGGGGGGGGTTCTTGGCGCAGAAATCAGCAGGAAGCGCGGCGCGGTAGTGAGTGTCACTAGTGCGAAGGTGCGTAATGAGGTCAGCGACTGTGGGAAAGGCAGCAAGGTCAGGAAAGAGGTACGGTAGCATGAGGCGGCTCAGTGCAGCAGTGGCAGGGGAAGAGTAGCGTGCAACTACAGCGTCGTACAAGGTCTGAGCACTCTTGTACTGACTAAAGTGCGCGCGCTCAGTGGTAGGCAGGTGGCGACGCACAGCAAGACGTGCAGCAGCATCGCGAGTGGCCCACTGGGAGCGAACAGTGGCGTCGGCATCGGCAGCAGGGGCAGGGGAAGCACCAGAGGTGAGGTCAAAGAGGGAAAGACCGTCTGCCCTATCGCACTGTAGGAAAAGCTGCAGGTCATCTACCCAAACCTAAAAGTCAATGGCTCGACCCTCAACGTCAAAAGCGAGAACACTGGGGGTAGCCATGACAACAGTGGACTAGCAGTACCAACTGTAGGACAGGGGCAGTGCAGTGACAGAAGCGCTGCTCTCACCAGGCAGGGCGGGTTGGGCAGCTCAGCGGTACAGCAGCACGGCAACACGGCTGCTCGGACGGCACTACAGCAACTGCAGCTCCGTGGCACCAGCGGCTCGGCTCCTCAGGCGGCTCGGGCGGCTCGTGCGGCTCGGGCAGCTCGGGCAGGTCGGGCGGCTCGGGCGGCTCGGGCGGTTCAGGCGGCTCGGGCGGCGTGGGCGGTGTAGGGCGGCAGGGCCGCGGGTGTGAGGGGCGGCTGGGCCGCTGAGAAGGGCGGCAGGGCCGCTGAGTAGGGCGGCGGGGCCTCTGAGGAGAAGGGCGGCGGGGCCGCTGAGGAGAAGGGCGGCGGGGCCGCTAAGAAGAAGGGCGGCGGGGCCGCTGAGTATGGCGGCGGGGCTATTGAGGAGAAGGGCGGCGGGGCCGCTGAGTAGGGCGGCGGGGCCGCTGAGGAGAAGGGCGGCGGGGCCGCTGAGTAGGGTGGCGGGGCCGCTGAGGAGAAGGGCGGCGGGGCCGCTGAGTAGGGCGGCGGGGCCGCTGAGGAGAAGGGCGGCGGGGCCGCTGAGTAGGGCGGCGGGGCCGCTCAGGAGAAGGGCGGCGGGGCCGCTGAGTAGGGCGGCGGGGCCGCTGAGGAGAAGGGCGGCGGGGCCGCTGAGTAGGGCGGCGGGGCTGCTGAGGAGAAGGGCGGCAGGGCCGCTGAGTAGGGCGGCGGGGCCGCTGAGTAGGGCGATGGGGCTGCCGAGAAGGGCGGGGCCGCAGCGACGGGCGGGGAGGCCGCGGAGACGGGCGGCGGGGCCGCGGAGACGCGCAGCGGGGCCGCAATGCGGGGCGACGGGGCCGCTGTGACGGGCGGCGGGGCCGCACTAAAGGGCGGCGGGATCGAAACGACGGGCGGCGGGGCCGCTAGGGGAAGGGGCCGCTAGGGCGATAGGGCAATAGGGCCGCTAGGGCGATAGGGTCGCTAGGTCGTAGGGGCCGCTAGGGCGGCTCGGCGAGGTGAGAGTTCGGAGCGCGACTCGGGCGGAGCGCGCTTCGGGCAGGAGAGAAAAAAAAAGTGAAACTCGATGTGGTGGGCCCTAGGCACAGTTCCCAAGGGGGAACCTGCTCGATACCATGAGGAAAGTAGAACGAGAATGAATTGACTAAGGAATGGAAGTGATACAAATATGCAACCCTAGAAATGTGTACCCCTTATAGACTACCCCACAATAGCCTACACAATATTATGATTTGACATAGGAGGCCGCCGGAACGCGAAGCACGGACGGAGACCGACTTGGCAAGTGTAGCAGATGAAGGCGAGGAGGGTGTAGAAGATCCACAGCTGCCAAGTCAGGTCGAACAGGTAGAGGAGCAGTGGAGGAAGGCGGCTGATGATAAGCGGATGGCCGAAGCAGAAGCCAAGAGGAGACGGGCTGAAGAGAGGCAACGGCGCCGTGATGGCGACACCGATCCTATCGTCTCTTTCCCGGGAACTGGAGACATACGTGAAGCATGGGAGCGTGGGGCACGAGCCGCTGCAAGGGCACACGTGGGAGAGGCGGGAGAGGAGCTCGCCAGCAATGTGCGGCAGCATATCGAGGAGGATAGGGGATACGTGAAAGTTCGCTTGCCCAGCGTAAAGCGGAAGGCAGCTGAAGAGGCCCGGAGAGGGGACGTCGACGTGCCAGAGAATTCGGGAGAGGCGAAAAAGATTGCGCAGAGCAACGCGGGTGCAAAGGCTCATAAGATGGTGGAGGTAGAGGCGCACCAAAAAGCAGAGGATGCGGCCCATCGGTTCGTCGATGCAGAGGCAGCAGTTACGGCAGAGGACAGGGCGCCAAAGGAAGCAGAGGCTGCGGCACAGCAGAAGGTGGGTGCAGAGGCGGTCAAGAGTGCGGAGGCAATCGTGCGTAAAGAAGCGGGTGCAGCAGCAGAGCTGACGTCGGAGGCAGTCGAGCTGCAGGTGGTGGAGGCAGTGGCGCAGAAGGAATCAGAGGCAACGGCGAGCCAGAAGGATGAGGCAGCGGCGCAGCAGAATGATGAGGCAGACGCACATAAGGAATCAGCGGCAGCAGCACAGCAGAAGGATGAGGGTGCGGCGCCCAGAATGGTTGAGGCAGAGGCGCAGAAGGAATCAGAGGTAGCGGCGCAGCAGAAGGAGGAGGGTGCGGCGCCGAAGATGGTTGAGGCAGAGGCGCAGAAGGAATCAGAGGCAGCGGCGCAGCAGAAGGAGGAGGGTGCGGCGCCGAAGATGGTTGAGGCAAAGGCGCACAAGGAATCAGAGGCAGCGGCGCAGCAGAAGGAGGAGGGTGCGGCGCCGAAGATGGTTGAGGCAGAGGCGCAGAAGGAATCAGAGGCAGCGGCGCAGCAGAAGGAGGAGGGTGCGGCGCCGAAGATGGTTGAGGCAAAGGCGCACAAGGAATCAGAGGCAGCGGCGCAGCAGAAGGAGGAGGGTGCGGCGCCGAAGATGGTTGAGGCAGAGGCGCACAAGGAATCAGAGGCAGCGGCGAGGCAGAAGGATAAGGCAGCGGCGCTGCATATGGAGGAGGCAGACGCACATAAGGAAGGAGAGGCGCGGAATAAGGCAGAAGCAGCGGCGCGGCAGAAGGCGGAGGCAGAGGAGCAGAAACAGGTTGCGGAAGAGGCGCTACAACTGGCTCGGGCAGAAGCGCGGAAGAAGGATGTTGTAGAGGCGCGGCAGAAGGCGGAGGGTGAGGCGCAGAAGATGGCAGAGGCCGAGGAGCAGATACAGGCTGAGGCAGACGCACGTAGGAAGCCAGATGGAGAGGAGGGTTCAGATGGGAATAAAATGATACAGACAGAGGGACGGGAGACGGCGGGTGCTGAGGGGCACATCATTGCAGAGGAAGAGGGGCAGCATGATGAGGAGGCAGCGTCGCAGGTATTCGCATACTAAGAGACGCAGAGCATGGCAGAGACAGAGCGTCAAAATACTATGGAGGAGGTTCGTGTGGTCCCGGAGGCTGGAGTGGGGCACTACGAGGGAGATGCGCTGGAAACAGAAGAGGAGCAGAATGAGGAGGATACGGTACATCCGGCAGTCCGGATATTTTTGGGAGGAAGTCCGACGCGGGGACCAGGATCCGGGGTAGAGGGGCCATGGAGGGTGGCAGACGATGGGGCGCCTAGGGATACAGTGGATCTCAACAGGCAGAGGCGGCCTACCCTTCACCAGAGAGCAGTGGAGAGGAATCTCGGCCAAGGCGGGGTGGCAGAAGCGTTTTGGCAGGTAGAGTGGGTCGAGGCAGAGACGGCAATACGGCAGATGCTGCAGCGCACGAGTACAGTCCTGGTCGAACAAGGTGACAGGTTCGTCGAGGCCGAAAGCTGGGACATAAGCCCGGCAGAGGTAACACGTCGTCTGACGCTCTTAGCCCGAATGGTGACGCAGACGTTCTGCAACTTGGCGGCCCGCAACAGCAGCATCAGTCGCGACGTGGCAGATCTGACCGTCCATTACTGCCGCGACGCCCTGGCCAACCTGGAAGAAGTCCGCCATGGAAACGAGGAACGGCGGCGCCAAGCTGAAACGGCGGCCAGGTTTCGCGAGCAGGTGGACACGAGACTCTCCAACTTGCGGGAGAGTATCGTAAGGGTGAGTGATCAGGTTCGCCAGTCGGGAGGGGGGATGGCGGAGGGCACGTTAAATGGGGTGGAAGAGAGGTTGAGAGAGGTTCTGAGAGAAGACTTTGAGCGGCGGAACAGGGATAGACTGCAGGACGAGGAGCGGAGGCAGAAGGCCACGAGAAAGGAAGCAGACGCCGCAGAGAGACGAAAGAAGGAACAACAGCAGGAGGAAGAGCGTCGGCAGAAGGAGATAAGAGAGGGAATGAAGGAGATGAAGGAGGCGATGATGAAGGAGATGAAGGCAGAAATGAAGGAGATGAAGGATGGGATGGTAAACCAGATTGTGGGGAGGTTGAGCGCGGTTTTACGAGAAGAATCCGAGCGGCAGAAGAAGGCGAGGCAAGAGGACGCGGAGCGGCGACAACAGCAGGACGCGAAGAGGAAACAAGTGGCGGACGACGAGGAGAGACAGAGGAAGAAACAACTGGACAAGCAATGGCGGAAGGAGGAGGAGGAGAAGAGGAAGGATGTAGAGGCCACAGAGCGGCGGAGGAAGAAGAAACATCAGGAGGAAGAGCGACGGCAGAAGGAGGTGGAGGCGGGAATGAAGGAAGTGATGGAGGCTGTGAAGGAGATGAAGACGGGGATGAAGGGGTGGAAGGAGGGGATGCTAAGTGAGGTGGAAAAGCGGCTGTCAGTAGTTCTGAGATTGGACGCAGAGCGGCGGCAAAAGGAGGAGCAGGGTAGGAAGGCAACGGAGGGAGATCGGCGACAGAAGGAGGATGCGCAGAGGAAGGAGGCTGAGGAGGACGATTGGTAGGAAAGGGAGAAACAACAGGAGAAGGAGAACCAGCAAAATGAGGAGGCGCAGAGGAAGGAGGCAGAGGAAGCAGAGCGGGTGGAGAGGGAGAAACAGCAGGAGATGGCGCGCCTGCAGAAGGAGGAGGCGCAGCGGAAAGATGCAGAGGAGGCCGAGAGGCAGGAGAGGGAGAAACAGCAGGAGATGGCGCGCCTGCAGAAGGAGGAGAGGCAGAGGAAGGAGGCACAGGAGGTAGAGCGGCGTCAGACGGCGAAACAGCAGGAATTGGACCGCCTGCAGAAGGAGGAGGCGCAGAAGGAGGCAGAGGAGGCTGAGAGGCAGCAGCGGGCAAAACAGCAGGAGATGGAGCGCCTGCAGAAGGAGGAGGCGCAGAAGAAGGAGGCAGAGGAGGCCGAGCGGCAGCAGCGGGCGAAACAGCAGGAGATGGAGCGCCTGCAGAAGGAGGAGGCGCAGAAGAAGGAGGCAGAGGAGGCCGAGCGGCGGCACAGGGCAAAACAGCAGGAGATGGAGCGCCTGCAGAAGGCGGAGCAGTGCCGAGCAAAGAAGAGGGCCAGACTTGCATCCTACGCAGAACAGCAGCGGCAACTGGAGGCAAAGGCAAAGGCGATGGCTGAAGAGACGGAACGATTGGCAAGGGAGATGGAAGAGGAGGATTTGACCATGCAGGGGGAGGGGACCTGGAAGGGAGTCGAGGAGGAAATAGCTGAGGGCCTGGGGAGTTTGCTGTTGATTGAGAGCGGGGAGGCGAATGTAGCAGAGGGCTTGGCTATTGTTCCCGGACAGAACGTAGAAGTGTCCAGGAGGCGGCCTAGACATGAGGACAGGGAGCCGGAGGGTCATGCGGCTAAGAGACGGCGTGCAGCTGGTATACAGGAGTTGATACCGATAATCCTAGGGGAAAACAAAGGGATGAAGATCGACAAGTGTGACAACAGGAAAAACGCCGTAGTGGACGACAAGGGTAAGACTTTGGGTGTCTGCCTGCCGTTCAGGGGAAGCGGGTTCTCTCAACGGGGCGAGGGAGCTTTGCAGAAGTGGACGTCTGAGCAGACCGTCGGCGGCCGGAAGCGGAACCTCGGCTCTCACAAAACGGTGTGGGAGAGGGCATACACGGTCGCAGTCTGCTGGAAGTTCTACTTCCCGGATATTGATGTGCAGGCATACGGCATGAATCCAAACCGTATTAACAAGTGGCAGGAAGACCTCGACTTCACAACGTGGCTTCCAACAGGGGTGTGGAGCGTCATCAACGAGCTCCACCTGGACACTCGCTACCGCGCTGCGCTTCCTGCTGAGTTCTGCGCCAAGAACCCCCCCCCCATGTACATCACCCTCTACTACATAGTCACCCGGCTCCCTGACTCTCTCCGCGTAGTTAGGGACCACTTCCTCTCAGTTTGCCCCACCACTCTCACCGTTGGTCTTGCTGAGCGTCGTGAGCTTGCGTCTCGTCCTGCGTCGCCTGTTCGTGCTGCTCGCACTAGTGGTCGTACTGCGCGTCCGCGTCCGCCTGCGGTCCCAGGCACACACCATATGGCACTGCGTCCTTCCACTGCTCCTCTGCGTGTCCCATTGCCGTCTCCTCCAGAGTCCTCTCTTCCTACTCTTGCTGACCCAGAGTCAGACTCTCTTCTTGCTGCTAGTCCTTCTGTCACGCGTCTCCTGGCTACTGTTGTCACTGACCCTTCTTTTGAGTCCACTGCTGCGTCTGCCCTAGTTGCTGAGCTTTTCGACTTCACTGCTCGCTGTCGTCTAGACTACGCCGCTAGTCTTGTTGCTGAGTCTGAGTCTGTGTGTCCTCCGTCCATCGGGGGTGAGTGTGCTCTTAGCACGGACGTCCTTGAGGACAGGCAGGAGGAGTTCCAGTGCTTTGCTGCTGCTTTGTCTCATCTCTTGTCCACGCTGATTGCCCGTGAGGGAGACCCCGATGCACTAGACATCCCGACTCCTCGATCGTAGGCTGAGGCGATCGAGTGTCCCTACTCCTCTCAGTGGCAGTCAGCCATGGACGCAGAGATGGCTTCCTGGAAGTCCACAGGCACCTACGTCGACGAGGTTCCCCCACCTGGGGCAAACATCGTCAGTGGCATGTGGATTTTCAGGGTGAAGAGGCCGCCGGGTTCTCCGCCTGTCTTCAAGGCGCGTTACGTGGCTCGAGGCTTCAGTCAGCGGCAGGGAGTTGACTACTTTCAGACCTTCTCTCCCACCCCGAAGATGACCACTCTTCGGGTGCTGCTGCACATAGCCGCTCAGCGCGACTACAAGCTTCACTCTCTTGACTTTAGCACACCTTTTCTACAGGGCAGCCTGCACGAGGGGATCTGGCTTCGCCGCCCACCTGGTTCACTTGGTCTTTGCCACTGCTGACACTGCTGGACTCGCCCACGTGAAGTCCGAGCTGCAGAAGAGACACACGTGCACAGACCTGGGTGAACTGCGCAGCTACCTTGGCTTGCAGATCACCCGGGACAGAGCACAGCGCACCATTACCCTGACTCGGTCACACATGGTGCAGCAGGTCCTTCAGCGCTTCGACTTCACGTACTCCTCGCCTCAGGCCACTCCTCTGTCTATTCGCCAATCGCTCTCAGCTCTGCCTTCGGATGAGTCCGTAGAGCCGAGTGGCCCGTACCCAGAGCTTGTTGGCTGCCTCATGTACCTGATGACCTGCACAAAACCTGACCTTGCATACCCTCTTAGCATCTTGGCACGCTATGTTGCTCCTGGGAGACACCGACCAGAGCACATGGCTGCAGCGAAGAGGGTGTTGCGCTACTTGTGCAGTACGTCGGGCATGGGGCTAGTGCTTGGAGGGCGACGTCGAGTGGTCCTGATAGGTCACGCAGCGGTCGTAACACGGTTACACCTTCAGCCTTGGCTCCGGCTCTGCTTCGTGGCGGTCTACCCGCTCGTCTTCTGTTCTCGGCTCCAGCTGTGAGGCTGAGATCTACGCGGGGGCCATGGCTGCACAGGAGCTGCGGTGGCTCACCTACCTGTTGACTGACCTAGGAGAGCCACCTCGTTCTCCTCCAGTTCTGTACGTAGACAACAAGGCCATGCTGGCCTTGTGTCGGGAGCACAGACTGGAGCACAGAACGAAGCACATTGCTCTCCGCTACTTCCTTGCTCGTGAGCTGCAGCAGCGTGGTCAGCTGCGCCTTGCTTACGTGGCCTCTGAGGCCAACACTGCTGATGTCTTTACCAAGGCACTTCCGCTTGGTGATCATCAGCGCTTCTGTACTATGCTATGTCTTGTGCCTACTTGGCCTCACTTGCTCACTTCTTGACCTTGCTTGTACTGTGGTCTTTCTATACATGCACTTGCTTGTTTACCTTTATATATGATCTTGCATGTGAACTGGCCTTTTGGCCTTGCTCTTGTGCTTGGACTGTGTAGTGACGTTGTGATCCACCCTGAGCTTGCTTTGCTTTGCTTGACTGGTCTTGTGACCTCTTGTTCTCCCCCACTTTGCCTATGGGGGTGCGTCAAACTTGTAACTTGTCTAGGCTATAGTGGGGTAGACACTATGGGGTACAGTTTCCTAGGATTTCCTACTTGTACCCAATCTTGTGCTAGTTCATTCATTCCTCATTCTTCACAAAGACATCGTGCAGTGACCTGCTGCCCATGATGAGGCTTGGCTGCACCCACACTTTCCAGGCAGCAGCAATAGTGGTGGCTTCGCGCCAAGACACAACGACCACGACGAAGAATTCTTCCATGGCAACTGGTGCTTGGGATGCGTCCGTTGCCTGGTTTGCTCCTGTTCCCGCGCTCTTGGACGATCCGTCGATCTCTGCAGAGGTGTTTGCCGCGTCATCCCTGGCCGCAATAGACCTCTTGTATGCTTCGAACTCTGCAATGACCCGAGCCTTGTCCTCTCGCTCAGCGGCGAGTTTCTCCCTCAGTTCAGCGTTCTCCATCGCCAACTGCATTTCACGTCCTCTCAAAATCCCAAGCTCCTCCCTGAGCATATTGGCGGTGAGGTGCATCTTCTGCATCTTCTCTTCTGCGGTCGTGCGAAAGATAGCGTCCTGCAGAAACCAACACGGCAGAACTCAGCATGAACGAATAACTCCCTCTCTCTACCACTAATAGCAGGCCCTTACTGCTTTGGCGGTGGTTTGGCTGGTTGCCCGAAGCTTCTCGCCCTGGAAGTGAGAGATAGCGACCAGGTACGCCCACTTTTGGAACAGCGGGTGGTTGCACAAGGGGCTCATCTGCACATATGGATGCCTCTCGCAATTGCAGCGTGGGTTTCTCACGCCGTGCTGATGGCAGAACGCCCACATCATAGCCAGATCCTGTGCAACAACGAGGCATCCGATGCTCGCGAGGGTCTTAAGGAACCTCGCCCCCGCATAGTGCCTCTTCAGCGGATCGGTCTGCGCAGCGTTCCATTCTTCGACCTGACGGGACGAGTATGCAGGAGAAATGCGACGATTCATAATTGCGTATCAAAATTAAGTTACGAACGCGAAGACTGTACACTAGCACGTACCTTCTTCCAACCCTCTTCGACCCAGGGGAAAATGTGAAGCCTCAAGAGATCCAAGAGCTGCAACCACTCATCCTTCTCCTTATCCTTATGCCGCGGAAGCTTGGCGTGGGTTGTGCTGATGTAGTAGACTCCACGATCCCCGCTGAATCCTGCCAGCAGCCAAACCGGCTTGAACGGAATGCCGAACACATAACACCTCCGCAACTCCCCTTGCGCCCATCCGCCCAGAGTGCCGATATCGTTGTCGGAGCAACCGTCGTCATGGAGTTGTTGCGCTCCGGATCTGCGGAATGCATGTGTCACCTTGCTCAGAATCCATCTCGCCTTTGTCATGGCCCACTTAATCCAGGTGTTATGCGTTTTGTAGTGCATCTCGTCTTGCTTCTGCTTTCCCTGGTCGCCCTTCTTCAAAGAAAAGAAGAGGTGCGCTTTAGTCCACAAGATCGGTTCAGAAAAGGCGAGAGGCTCGACGATATTGGGGTTGTAGCGCAGAGGAACGAGGTCGTAGATGAAATGAAGCCACAGGAACACATGGCCCATTCCGCAGAGCCGCCAGTCCCTATGCCTTGCAAGAAACTGATGACTCAGCTTGTTGTTGGGGCTGGTCTTCGACTTCCTGGAAACAACGACGAGTACGAAAACGTCCAGATAGTCGTCGAGGTGTGATGTGCTCCGCGTCATGCGGACAAATAGGTTCCCAAGGCGAATCTTTCGAATGCTGCACCCTCTTCCGAGAAATTGGTGTCCGAGGTGCATCATAACCGGGACTTGCAGAGCCTTCCAAAGAGGAAGCGAGATTTGTGACGGAGGTGTCCGCCACCAGATCTCTAGGAGCTCTTTTCGCAGAACAGTAAGATGCAGCGTCCTATACTGGCTTCCCGTATAGCAATCACCAATTGATCCACGGGTTTGATCTCGACCATCCTGAGAAAATTTTAAAAGAAAGAAGAGGGGGTTGCACTAGCGAGAATCAGGATACAAATAGCAAACCCTAGAAGGGTTGTACTCGCTATAGAGCACCCCACTACAGGCTAGAGCATAATATTCTGACACACCCCCATAGCCAAAGTGGGGTGTAATCAGCAGAGCAAGCAAAGCAGTACAAGCTCAGGGTGGATCACAATGTCACCACACATTCTGAGCACAAGTTCAAGAAGCAATAGTTTAAAGTTCACAATTATGAGCAAAGCTAGTGGTAGTCACAACTGGCAAGTGAGGAGGAGGAAAGAGACTATGAGAGGAGAGGAGGTAGTGGGCGGCAGCTGAAGCTGCTGGCACACGGCGCAACTGGAGCAACTGGCACACGGGCAACTGGAGCAACTGGCACACTGGCAACTAGAGCAACTGGCACACAGGCTACTGGAGTAACTGGCTCCGCGGCTAAAAGTAGCGGCAGACGAGCAACGGACTCACGGGCGACTGGAGCAACGGGCTCACGGGCGACTGGCGCAACGGGCTCACGGGCGACTGGCGCAACGGTCTCACGGGCGACTGGAGCTGCTGGCTTCACGGCGGCCACCCCTTTCAAGCTCCCCAAACTATCCCACTCCCCCTGACACACACCCGCTGCTACACCGCTAGCTCCACTCCCCCTTCACCCCCCCTTAGTACCACTCAAACGGCTCCAACAAGTCCACCCCCCCTCAGCGGCAGCTGCAGCACAGGGAGACGGAGGAGGAGGAGGAGCAGGGAACGGCACACAGTGGCTTCACCCCCATACCCCTCACCCCCAAACCCTAATTCAAGAGAACGGGCTGTAGGAGGGGTGGGGCGCCAGTAGAAGCACGGGGGACAGTGGGGAGGGCAGGGGCAGCGAGGAAAGGGCTGCCCACGGGCCTGGCACAGCCGCCCGAACCGCGCGCAGGCGGCCTGAGCCGCGCGCGGGCCTGGCGCAGCCCGTACGGACCGCGCGCGGGCCTGGCGCAGCCCGTACGGGCCGCGTCCGGGCTTGGCGCAGCCCTTACGGGCCGCGCGCAGCCTGTATGGGCCGCGCGCAGGCCACGACGGGTGACGGGGAGCGACGCGCGGGTCCCCGTCGCCCGTCGCAGCGCCTCCCGAGGGCGACGCGCCGAGTGACGGGGCAGAAGCCCGCCGCGCGCCTCGGGGCGCAC